TCGGAGACGCTGAGAGGCCCCGGAATCTGGGACTGTTAGGCCCCAGGCCGCCCGTCCGATCCGGTTAGCCACCCCACCTGGCCATCTCTGCCCAAGCCACGCCTAGCCTGGCCGGGCTCCCTACGGCGACGCTAGCGGGGTTAACTGGGACGACAGAGGGTTGGGGGACTACGGCGGGAGTGGGAGGGGCTGCAGCTTTAGATGAAGTCAGCAGGTGCAGCGGGCAGGCCCCGGGCGGGGGCAAGCCTGGAGGAAAGGGGCCCCTCGCGAACTGTTAAGGCGGGGTCCGGGGAAGAGAAAGCAAAGCTCGGGAGGCGAGGCAAGGGCAAGGCCGCTTCAGCTCGCGGGGCTGGACCTCCGCCTCCAGCAGCAGCTGGGCACGCCGCCCAGGCCCAGCCAGGCCCAGCTTTTCTATCACGCTGAGCACCGCACCGGCCAGTAGGCCAGGACCCCGCCCCCAGACACCAACACGCCCGCACAGGCACCACCTCCCGCCGTTCCCCAGGCCTGGGTGTCAGCGGCGCCCAGCCCCCACAGCAGCAGCAGCGGCCGGCCCGCCCCCTCTCTCCGGGCCCCGCCCCCTCTCTCCGGGCCCCGCCTCTCGGCCCAGGACCCGGAGGCAAGCCTCCCCTGCCGCGCTCAGCCCGCCGCTCGCTCCCGGGGCCCCGCCCCCGGCCGCTCAGGCGCGGCTGTAATACGCTGAGCGTCAGCGATTGGCTCGAGGGTCGGAGACATCGTGTCCTAATTGGACGCGCTGTACGGCGGCTTCCTGTGGGGCGGGGTGACTCGGCAACGGTTCCGGAAGCGGCCGACCACGCGGACAAGCTTCCCGGGGACTCCGCTGCGGCTGCTGCCGCCATGACCAAAATAAAGTCTGACCCCGACGGGCCCGAGGCCCAGGGAGAGGCGTGCGGCGGGGAGCGCACCTATCACGAGCTGCTGGTCAACCTGAACCCCATCGCGCAGCCCCTGGCTTCGCGCCGCCTCACGCGGAAGCTCTACAAGTGCATCAAGAAAGGTGGGGCCGGGGCCGGGCGGGCGTGGGCATGGAGGGGCGGGTGCACCGCTGCCGCTGACTTCTGGTGTTGCAGCCGTGAAGCAGAAGCAGATCCGGCGCGGGGTGAAGGAGGTTCAGAAGTTTGTCAACAAGGGCGAGAAAGGGTAAGAATCCCGCTTGCGCCGGACTTTGCAGGGAGCCGTGCTGCCTGGGGCGCCCCGTGAGAGGCTGGCTGGGTCGGGCTCCCGTCGGTGCAGACGCGCTCGGGGCGGGCGGACCCCGGCCTCGGTCATCCGGACGCCTGTCAGGAGAATCCGCTTCTCCAGGCACTGTGTTCTCCATGGGTCACCACACTCGCGGGTAACCGCAGCTGTGGAGGAGAGTGACCCCACTGCCCCGCTGCTTGGGGCGGGGACGGGCGGTAAGTCTCCCAGTCCCGCCGGAGTCAGCGCCACGAGAACACGGCCCGCACAGCTTTACCTCCAGAGGTGCCTGGCTCTGTGTAGGTGCTGGAGATAAACGTTGGGAGCTACCTTGTAAGCCATAGCTTAGTGTTTGTGCTCAGAGCTTGGGAGCCCACTGAAGGGTAAAGACAGGAAGTGACACGGTTATGGTTGCACCTTAACATGTGGGAGCAGGCGTGTAGCCTAGTGTTAGCCTAGAGTTGACATCCACGTCCCGTAGCCCACCTGGGTGGGATCCCCAGCCCCAGCTTCCTGCCAGGCCCTTCGGGAGAGGTGCTAGGGGGTGGGCTGCAGCCCTGGTGGTTGGGAGCCTGGATTGCATTCTGCCCCAAGCCTTACAGGCATCTGGGGGAGTAAACCAGATGAGAGCTGTCTCAAACAACTGTAAAAGATTTTTCTTGCAATTGAAAGGATCAGAGAGGCAAGAGTCAATCTGAGGAAGTGCAGGCAGGAGGTGGCTATAATCTAGGACAGGTCATGGTGAAATTGCAGTTAAAGTGGATGATGGGACTGGCGTTGTTCGGAACAGGTTAAGCCACGGCTTGCGGTGTGGACAACCCATATAGGAGTGCCAGTTTGAGTCCTGGCTACTTCTCTTCTGCTCTAGCTCCCTGCCAGTGTGCCTGGGAAAGCAGCAGAGGATGGCCCAAGAGCTTGGGCCGCTGCCACCCATGTGGGAGACCCAGATGGAGTTCCTGGCTCCTGACTTCAGCCTGGCTCCAGCCCCATTGTGGCCATCTGGGGAGTGAACCAGCAGATACAAGATCTCTGTCTCTCCCTCTCTGCCTTTCAAAGAAATCAATCATGTATATATACACATATATACATATATATGAAAGTAGATGGATCCAAGTGGACTTTCAGAAGGACCAAGAAGTATAAATGGTTTCTAGATTCTGGCATGCCCTGCCCAGGGTGCAGGGCTTGTTTTCTGAGACGTCTGTGTGGGGAGATTACTTTGAAGAAGTGTGACCTCCTGAACTGTCAGTCGGGCAGATGTCTATATGGGTTTGGGGCTTGGAAGAGAGGGGGACAGGTTGGGGAGAACGGGTCTGGGAGCTGTAGCACACTGGCGGCACGTGTCATCGTGGCTGCGGGTGCATCTGGAAGGATGTAGGGAGAGGGCAGCCAAGGCCCAGGCTGAGGGACACCAGCTTAAAGGCTGCTGACAGGCCCCAGGAGAGGAGAAGCAGCACTCCCAGCTGCCCTTGCCCAGAGCCCCGTGAGCTTGCTAGCTGGGGACCCTAGCTGAGGACTCTGGTGTTCTTTTTGGGACACAGCTTGTTTCTTAGCAAGGCCCTTGGGTGTGTCACTTATTTGAGAGTTACAGAGAGAGGGAGAGACAGAGAGAGATCTTCCATCTGCTGGTTCACTCCCCAAATGTCTGCAAAGGCTGGAGCTGTGCCGATCTGAAGTCAGGAGCCGAGAGCTTCTTCCAGGTCTCCAACTGTGGGTGCAGTGGCCCAAGCACTTGGGCCATATTCTACTGCTTTTCCAGGCCATCAGCAGGGAGCTGGATCAGAAGTGGAGCAGGTGGGACTCAAACTGGTGCCCATATGAGATGCCAGCACTGCAGGCGGAGGCTTAGCCCACTACGCCATAGCACCAGCTTCCCCAGACAGCATCTTAACACTGTGCCAAATGTCCACCCAAGCTTTTACTGACTCTGAGAAAAGCTGAGCTTATTCTTTGGTGCCCCTCAAACCTCATTTGTCTCAGTACTGTACCCCTTATCACACTTGGTGGCATTTACATTTTGTTAAGAAGTGGAGATCACCTCCCTGGACAAATACTATTTGCCAAATACAAGTTTGCACCCTTCCAGAGGCTGGCAGACTCACATAGTAACCCCTTGAGCAGGGGAGGTGGGGGGATGGACATCTTACTCTGTGCACCCCCAGAGCCCAGCCCAGAATTTGGCCTGTAACTTGACGGGGTAGGGACAGCTGGAAACCACAGCAGATTTTCTCATTTCAGGATCATGGTTCTGGCAGGAGACACACTGCCCATTGAAGTATACTGCCACCTCCCAGTTATGTGTGAGGACCGGAATCTGCCCTACGTCTACATCCCCTCGAAGACGGTAAGAAGCACAGCCCTTCGGGAGAGGTGCTGGGGGTGAGCCAAGCAGGACACAGTGGGAAGCAGGACTGCGGATTCTTGGTACCACTGCTGCCAAGCTGTGGCACTGCAGACGGCGACTCAGTTTCTGTCTTATAAAATGAGGAGCCCCTCCTGTGGACTGTGAGAAAGAATGCGGATGTACATGGACCTGTGTGAGTCCTGTTATGTGGGTTCCTGCTCAGAGGGGCTGTTTCAGGGGGATGCTCCCAGGAACAGCCCCTGCTGGGCTGCAGCCCTTTCATGGTGGCCTTGTGGGGATGTAGGCCCAGTGTGGCTGGACCACAGCTTGAATACTTACTGGAGTTTAAATGATGGCAACCAATTCAAAATAACTTTTAAGTGTGACATAGACAGACCCAGTGGAACAGACTGTGGGCCAGATCAAGCTGCTGCGTCATCACGTGTGACTCCCTGCACATAGCTTCTGTGGCCTCTCCCCCAGACAGCCTTTCTTTCCTCCTCTAGGATCTGGGTGCAGCTGCGGGCTCCAAGCGCCCCACCTGTGTGATTATGGTTAAGCCTCACGAGGAATACCAGGAGGCCTACGATGAGTGCCTGGAGGAGGTGCAGGCCCTGCCCTCACCCCACTGAAGGACTTAGGCAGCAACCTGGGTACCTGCCTGGCTGGTAGCTGCCCAGCCTACCCTCCTCTGCCCATGTTCACAGTGTCTGCCCTGGTTCCCCGAGGAACATAGTCTTCCCAGGCAGCTCCACCAGCTGTTTATCATGAAAGTAGAGCCGGCGCCTTCTCCATCAGAGCTGTTTCCTGTTGAGCTTAAATGAAGACAGTTCCAAGAGTGTGGGCTGAGCAAGTAAATGCTAAGGCTACAATGTGGTGAGTCTGTGGGTGTTGTTTTAAGCAGCAGCTGCTGGTGGGGCCAGGCAGTTGGCGGGCAAGAAAAAGAGGAAGCGGACTTCTCACCAGAGTCTGCAGCGCTAACGCTGAGCCGCCCAGCACCCAGGGCTTTCACCACTGACTTCCTGGGAAATGGGGGCTGTGTACTGAGGTAGCAGAGCCCAGAACCCGCCTCACAGGAGCCTGCGGCCTCTGTCGGTCACCCCCATTCCTCTTCTTAGTGCCACTCTGAAGCTATGGAAGCAATTTACCCACCCACACACTAAAAAATAGAAAGAAGCGAGAGGCCATCCTCCTGCTGAACATGTTGGCTCTGATGAACCAATCCCTTCTAGCACTTTAGACTTAAGTTCCTTCTCTATGTCAAAGGCTCCACTGGACTTGGTACACATGTGTCTGTAAAGGCCCCTTGCCGAGGGGCTGAGAGCATCCAAGTCCCCTTCAGTGAAGATGCAGGTCGAGTGCTTTCTGCCTGGGCTCTGGCTGCGCCCCACACCACGCCCACTAGCTGTTTGTAGTAGACCCAGCAATTCCTTGTTGGCAAAGCTAAAGGCTGGCAGAAGGAAGGAGGGCTGTGAGTATATTTGGTCAAAGTTATAAAACAATTACATTAAGTTCTAACTTGAGTATGTACAGTGGGAAATGGATACATACAGTTGAGGCTGGACAGCAGGAAGTTGGCCACAGCTGGACACCCCTAGGCTGAGGAGCTGGAGTGGCACAGGCTTGGCTTGTCACGGCTGAGGGCAGGGGTGGAAAGATGTCTGCAGCAGCGCCCCGTCCTTTGCTTCTCTGTCAGCAGCTGCTAAGTCAAAGGCATCCGAACAGCAGGAGTAGAGCCCAGCATCTTGCTTTCCTTGCTCCATGTGGGTGGGTTCCTCCTTCAGCTACCCTGCTAGTGCTCCTCAACCAGGTGACGTGAACCACAGCCCACTGAAAGCCAGCTCGCCCAACCCAGAGCCCAAGGCTCCCGGGTGAAAAGCTGCTTCCAGCAAAGTTCTTCCAGGCAGGAGTCAGAATATGATGCGTTTCCCGTCTGCTGGGTTTTGCTCCATGGGACAGTAGGGACACTTCAGCCTGCAGAGGGGGTAGAACCAGAAACATCTTAAGGCTGGCCAGCAGGACAGCCAGGCCAAGCAGGGGGCGGCACAGGGGACTTACTTTCCTCCATTAATGAGCTTGTTGAGGGCATCTCGGGAGATGACGTGGCCACAGATGAGCTTGATGGGCGGGTTGGAATCCGAAGTCTGCTGGCGGAGGATGGGGCAGGCAAATACCGAGTGGTACCAGCACTTCATGCCCAATTCAATCTCGATCTAGGGAGGCCAGCAGAGAGGTGAGTCCCACTCCCTGTCCTGGCTGCCCTCACCGCCCCCGCCAGGCCTCACCGGCAACTCATCCTTGTGACTCCAGACCCCGGTGCACTGTCTCTGCTCAATCACAGCCTTGATGTTCATCAGCACTGGCAGTGCCACACAGCCAGAGGCAAAACTGCAAAGAGCAGGGGACGCAGTGAGTTGGACCGTGGGACACAGTGGACAGGCAGAAAGCAGCACACACCCCTCTGGCTCACAGCTGAGGATACAGCAGTCCTCAGATTGCTCATACAGTACCATAAGTGTACCCAGCTGTGTCCAACATGAGAGTGTCTCTGATGTACCCCAAGATTTGAGAACATACGGGAAAGACAAAATGAAGCTGCAGTGAGATACCTGCTCAGCCAAACCATGTTACAGCCCACGTGTGGGACTACACTGTCCTACTGTTGGAAAGCACCTCTAACAGTGGCTACTGGGGCAAGTGTCTTGGCACAGCAGGTCAGGCACTGCTTAGGACATCCGTATCCATACTGGACTGCTTGTTCAAGTCAGATCTACTCCACACTTCCAGTCCAGCTTCCTGCTAATGTGCTTGGAGACAGCAGACAATAACCCAAGTACTTGGGTTTCTGCTACTCATTTGGCAGATGGAGTTCCTGGCTCGTGGCTTAGGACTGTTGTACCCTTGGCTACTGGAGGAGTTTGGGGAGTGAACCAGTAGACAGAAGATCACTCTCCTTCTCTGTCATTCTCTGTCATATCTGCATTATTCTGCAAATAAAATCTTTTTAGAAAAATCAACTAGGATACTTAAATGCGGGGAGGTGAGTGGGTGCAGCAGTTAAGACGCCAGTTAGGATGCATGCATCCTGTCTCCATGCTTGGGGTCAAGTGCTGGCTCTGCTGCTGACCCCAGCTTCCTGCGAATGCACACCCTGAGAGGCAGCAGGAGATGGCTCAAGTACTTGGGTCCCTGCAAACCACATGGGTGTTCTGGGATCCTGGCTCTAGCCTGACTGGACCTAAAAGTCAGAGTACATTAAGAACTGGGTGGGGGCTGGCACACAGGTTAAGCATCCCTATGAGAGCAGAGGTTGAAGTCCTATCTGCTCTATTTTACAGATCCAGGTTCCTGCTAATACGCCTGAGAGAGCATCAGAAGGTGGCCCAAGTGCTTGGGCCCCTGCTACCTATGTGGGAGACCCAACTGGAGTTCCTGGCTATTGTGACTATTTAGAGAGTGAACCAGTGCATGGAAGATCTCTGTCTTCCCCCGTCACTCTGCCTTTCAAATAAATCTTTAATAATAATGACTGGGGGTGGGATTCATTTCTCGCAGCAGTTGTACAGGGGTAGGGACCTACAGGCTGGAACCTCAGGTGCTAAGTACCATACAGCGCACAGGGCAGTCCTGTGTCACGCAATGATCCTGTCCAGGGAAGGGGCAGTGTTCTTGCTGGGCAATCCGTTCTAAAGCTGGACGTCTGGCCAGAGTCCATGAGAAAGATGTCAGTCTCCCGTATGGGGTGGAGTGTAAGGCCCCACAAGCAGTTGAAGTAAAATGCCCTGTGGCCACTGTGCACTGGGGTCAGTTCAGGTGGCAGGTTCAAGGCAGGTGAGTCTGCCTGTTGACCCTCCTGCTGTCCTCTATGAGGTGAGGAAGGTACTTCTAGCTCCTTGGGCTGCGGGAGCTGTGAGAGGCGTGTTACAGTGAAGGGGACCTCTCAGTCGGTGCTCAGGGACTAGGCTCCCTGAGGGGGGTGGGGTCTGAGAGGAGACCATGAGGAAGGTGGGCTGCAGGGATGTGAGGAGGTTTTGCTGTAATACAGGGAATGAGGTGCAGGAGAGGCAGGGACCTCATTCAAGAGATCTTACTAGCTGGGAACCCTGATCCTGCCATGGACTTTGTGGGAAATTCAGGCCATAAGTCTCAATAATCTCTGTCTAACAGTAAAAACAGGCAGTTCCTATCTCAGTCAGTTTAGGTCTGAGAGCACCAAGCAGTGTTCCTGGCACGTGGCTGGGCCCTGGCGAAGCTGTCTTTCCCTCTGCCCTCCCAGGGCCAGGTGTACCTGACGCTGAGTGGGGACTCCACAGAAAGCCCCAGCAGGGAGCACGCGTCCCGGGTAAAGGTCTCACAGATCTCGGCCCAGTGGCTGTTGTCCAGGAGGTGGCAGTAGGGCGACTTCTCCAAGCCCAGCCGCAGGTACACGAGACTGCCCATCATCACCTGGATCTCTGCAAGGCAACCACAGTGCAGCTCAGCGGGTGCAGAGGCTCTGGGCCCAGCCTCTTAAGTTAAGGAGCAGAGCAGATGGGCAGCGATTGAAATACCCTCGGGCAAAACGGATTTTCTCTAAAAACCAGCGGAGGTGGGTCACCAGACTGCTGCTGTGGGTTATGGACGGGCATGCCACCAGGGAATCAGATTGGCAGGGAGTTCCCTGTCAGCTCTTTCCATGCTTTTGATGGTATCACTGAGCTGGTCTCAGGCTGGCACTAGTGTCTATTTACCAACTGTAGCTAATATCCTCTAACAGAGCAGATTCCAGGTTCAAGCCTTTCAGGAGGCAGCAGCATCCAGGTAAAATTTAAAAACACTACCTGGCTTTCACATTTATTTTTAAATAAAGCTCAGAGTAATAAATATGAGTGGAGCTCAGGAAATGAGTACAGTGTGGGTGACTGATGGGGAGCACCTCACAGGTGAGACTCAAGTGGCAGGTTCATGATCCAGGGGGAAGGAAGGGAGCCCCAGGGAAAGCACTCCGATGAGTTTCAGGGGAGCTGGGCTCTTCCTGCAGGGAGACACTGGAGACCCGAGGTGGTCTGAGATGAAGCTAGAAAGGTATGCAGAGGACAGGAGAGCCTTGAGTCTGGAGTTCACCTTGGAGACAACAAGGGCTCCAAGAAGCTAAGCAGGAGAGAGGCAGCTGGGTGCCACACAGCCCCACATGGGTGCGGGGATGACTGACACCATCCGCTGTGGCCCACCAGCACCCTGGGCACTCACCCCTCTGGTGCAGCCGAGCAAAAGGCTGGAAGTGCCGGGCGTAGCTGAGGGCCTCCAGCTGCTTCTCGGGGCCGCCTGCCAGGAGGCGGATGAAGTGCAGTCGGTGCAGCTTGAACTCCAGGGAGCTGTTGAGCTCCAGCAGGCGCTGCCTGTGGGAGACGGCCCATCTGGGAAGAAAGGGGCCGTTTTAGTGTGGAGCTGGTAGAGGCTAGGAAAGGGGCCTTGGCAAAGCCAGGACCTGCGAGGAGGGCTGCGGGATGCCCCTGGGACGTGTGGGTGACAAGCCTGGTGCCCTGACAGGTGGGGGCAGAGTGGCTGCTGGCCCACCGTGGGGCTCCTTACTCCAACGCAGGCCCCAGGTCTTGTTCATGCAGAGCTTCCAGGATTCGATTCAGCTCCAGGAAAGGCTGCTTGAAATCCAAGTCCACATTCAGTGTTGATTCCTGGTCGGGGGAGAGAGAGTCCCCCATTGGAAGACAGTGTTTGCTAAATTCTAGTCTGCACATAATAAAACTTCATTTGTCAGAGACAGGCTGGAGGGAGCCGGAGTTGGCACAGGAGACATAGTCTCTTGCCAGCTGCCTGGGCCTCTCTTGTTGCTGTTTCACTTCTGGGTAGATCAGTGTGACCTGCTGACCTTGAGAGCAGACTGCACACTAAGAGAACTGGAGACCCCGTGGTGACAGCATGTGAGAAAATTACTCCTTTTTAATCCTAATTATATAGAGAAAGTCTCCATTTTTCCTGCCACTGTTTTCTTTTCTAAGATATTTATGTATTTATTTCAAAGGCAGTATGAAAGAGATTGATCTTCTATCCACTGGTTCTTTACCCAGGTGGACCAGGCCAAAGCCAGGAGCCTAGAACTCAGGTCTCCCACATGGGTGCAGGAGCCCAAGTACTTGGGCCATCTTCCACTGCCTGCCTGAGTGCATTATTGGAAGCAGAGGAGCCAGGGCTTCAACTAGCACTCTGGTATGGGTTGCAGCTTAACCTGCTGCACTACAACACCTGTTCCCCAGTGTGTCTTTAACACCTAACAAAAGCTTAGTTATTTCATTAAAGAGAGAGAGAGAGGGAGAGACAAAGAGAAGTCTTCCATCCACTGGTTTACTCCCCAAATGGCTGCATCGGCCAGGGCTGGGCCAGGTTAAAGCCAGAAGCTTCATCCAGGTCTCCCACACGGGTGCAGGGGCGCAAGGACTTGGGCCATCTTCCACTGCTTCCCCAGATGCATTAGCAGGGAGCTGGATTGGAAATGGAGCAGCTAGGACCCAAACCAGTGCCCATTTGGGACGCCAGTGCTGCAAGCAACAGTTTAACCTGCTGCGCCACAGTGCTGGCCCCTCATTTTATATATTTTTAAAGCAATTTTCAATTTATGGTGGGGGGGGCTGGTTTCCTTTCTAAAACATGTTCAAAGAGAGGCAGGGATTTAATGTCAAGAACACTAGCAGGTGAAGGGCAGAACAGGGAGGCTCCTTCAGCACTGGCCCTCCCCACGGGGGGCCAGCACCTGGCGCCACCATCACCTGGCACAGCTCCTCGGCAACACTGAGCATGCCCTGCTGGTACAGGTGCTCCACGATGGCCATCTGCAGGATCTGCTGCTGCTGCTCCCGCGAGTCCCACACCGCGTCAGAGACGACACCACAGATCTCAGAGTCAAAGTTCTGACAAGGAGAGAGGGCCCTGTGACTGGGGCATGCACATGCACTCCCCTGCTGAGCCCTGTGCACACCACACTAGCTCTGGAATATTCCCACCCCAGGCATGGGGCCACCCGGCGCTCACCCTGTCGATGGCTTTGCCCACTCGGGATACACTGCTATGAATGTCCTTGTGGTCGGAGGCCAGTTTCTGTACAGTGTCTTTGATCTTCCGGCAGCACTGGGACATCACCAGGGAGAGGGTGGCTGAGAGGGGTGTGCCTTGAAGGGCTACAGGGAAAACAGTGGATGGAACGAGTCAGGATACAGCCCTGAGCACCTGTTTCAGCAGCAGCCCTTGTTTCTGCTTTCTGTTCTAAATGTCAGCCTGGTGCCCCAGGAGGCAGCCCTGCCCCACTTTCTTTTTTTTTCCAAGATTTATTTGGGCCAGCATTGTGAATAGTGGGTAAAGCCGCCACCCGCAATATTGGTATTCCATACGAGTGCCAGTTTGAGTTCTAGCTGCTGCACTTCCGATCCATCTCCCTGCTATTGACCTAGCAAAAGCAGCAGCAGATGGCCCACATGCTTGGGTCCCTGCCACCCATGTGGAGACTGGACAAAGTTCCTGGCTCCTGGCTTCAACCTGGCTCAGCCCTGGCCATTGTGGCCAACTGGGGAGTGAACCAATAAATGGAAGATATCTTGGTCTCTCCCTCTTTCTCTTACTTTCAAATAAGTAAATAAATCTTTAAAAAATAAGTTATTTACTTGAAAGGCAGAGTGACAGAGGGAGAGAGACAGGGAGATCTTCTACCTGCTGTTTGATTCCTCAAATTATTTATTTTTTATTTTTTGACAGGCAGAGTGGACAGTGCAAGAGAGAGAGACAGAGAGAAAGGTCTTCCTTTGCCGTGAGTTCACCCTCCAATGGCCGCTGTGGCCGGTGCACCGCACTGATCCGAAGCCAGGAGCCAGGTGCTTCTGGTCTCCCATGCAGGTGCAGGGCCCAAGGACTTGGGCCATCCTCCACTGCACTCCCGGGCCAAAGCCGGGAGCTGGCCTGGAAGAGGGGCAACCGGGACAGAATCCGGTGCCCTGACTGGGACTAGAACCTGGTGTGCCAGCACCGCAAGGCGTAGGATTAGCCTATTGAGCTGCGGTGCAGCGGCCATTGGAGGGTGAACCAACGGCAAAGGGCCTGGGCTGGGTCAGATCAATGCCGGGAGCCAGGTGCATCATCCATGTCTCCCACATGGGTGCAGGGGCCCAAGCATCTGGGCCATCCTTCGCTGCTTTCCTAGGTGCATTAGCAGGAAGCTGGATCAGAAGTATAGCAGCCAGGACACGGACTGGTACCCATATGGGATGCTGGCATTGCAGACAGCGGCATAACCTAACCTAACCTACTGCAACATAACACAGGCCCTCCCGGCCCATTTTTGAACTATATGATTTAGAACTGGTCAAGTGAGACAAGTCAACTCATCTCAGTCTTCGTTTCCTTATTTTTTTTTTTTAAGATTTTTTATTTATTTATTTGACAGGTAGAGTTACAGACAGTGAGAGAGAAAGGTCTTCCTTCCATTGGTTCACCCCCCAAATGGCCAAGCACTTAAGCCATCCTCCACTGCCTTCCCAGGCCACAGCAGAGAGCTGGACTGGAAGAGGAGCAACTGGGACAGAACCGTCGCCCCAATTGGGACTAGAACCCAGGGTGCAGGCGCCGCAGGCAGAGGATTAGCCTAGTGAGCCATGGAGCCGGCCTCGTTTCCTGATTTTAAATAAAGAGGGGCTAGTGCTGTGGTGCAGTGGGTTGAAGCCCTGGCCTGCAGCGCCGGCATCCCATATGGGTGCTGGTTCGAGTCTTGGCTGCTCCACTTCCTGTCCAGCTCTCTATGTGGCCTGGGAAAACAGTGGAAGATGGCCCAACTCCTTGGGCCCCTGCACCCACATGGGAGACCCAGAAGCTGCTCCTAGCTCTTGGCTTCAGATCAGCTCAGTTCTGGCCATTGCAGCCATCTGGGGAGTGAACCAGTAGATGGAAGACCTTTCTCTGTCTCTACTTTTCCCTGTAATTGTCTTTCAAATAAATAAAATAAAACTCTTTAAAAAAAATGCTGTGCCAGCATTATGGCACAGGGTGTTAAGCTGCTCTTTTTCCAATCCAGCTCCCTGCTAATGTGCCTGAGAAAGTACTAGAAAATGGCCCACGTGCTTGAATCCCTGCCACCCATGTGGGAGCCCTGGATTAAGCTCCTGGCCTGAACCCAGCCATTGTGTCCATTTGATGAGTGAATCAGCAGATCTCTCTCTTTCTCTTTCAAATTTGACAGTCAAGTTAATACAGTTACAGAATGACTCAGCAATTACAATCCTAGGTACATATCCAAGAGAAATAAAAACTTAAGTGTACCCAGAAATTTTGAGTGTTTTTTTTTTTTTTAAGATTTATTTGAAAGACAGAGTTACACAGAGTGGTAGAGACAGAGAAAGGAGGTCTTCCATCTGCTGTTTCACTCCCTAAATGGCCAGGAACTTCTTTTGGGTCTCCCACACAGGTGTGAGGCCCAAGCACTTGAGCCATCTTCTGCTTTCCCAGGCCATAGCAGAGAGCTGGGTCAGAAGTGGAGCAGCTGGGACTCAAACTGGCGCCCATATGGGATGCTGGCACTGCAGGCCAGGGCTTTAACCCACTGTGCCACAGCAACAGCCCAACTTGCGAGTATTCACAACAGAATTATTCTTATTTTTTTACAGATTTATTTATTTGAAAGGCAGAGTTAGAGAGAGGCAGAGGGAGAGAGAGAGAGGTCTTCCATCTGCTTCACCCCCCAACTGGCTGCAATGGCAGGAGCTGGGCCAATCTGAAGCCAGGAGCCAGGAGCCAGGAGCTTCTTCTAGGTCTCCCACGCAGGTGCAGGGGTCCAAGGAGTTGGGCTATAGTCTGCTGCTTTCCTGGGCCATAGCAGAGAGCTGGGTCAGAAGTGGAGCAGACAGGACTCAAACTGGTGCCCATGTGGGATGCCGGCACTGCAGGCAGCAGCTTTACCCACTATGCCACAGAGTCGGCCCACAGAATTATTTGTAATAGCAGAAGGTAGAAAGAACCCAAATGTCAATCAACTCATAGTTAAACAAAATGGGGTATATCCACACACTGGAATACTATTGAGTCATAAAAGAGAAATAAAGTTTTGACAGGTCCTGGGACAGGGACGAACCTTAAGACATGCTAATGAAAGGAGCCAGACACAGAAGGCCACTGTGCGCTGTGTGACCCTGTTTGTTTGGAATGTCCAGAAGGGCTGAGCTGGAGACAGAAAGTGGCTGCCAGGCGCTGGGGAGAGGCAGGAAGGCAGCAGCTGTCCATGGGTTGGGTGTCTGGAAGGATGATGATGAAATGTGTTGAGATGAGACAGTAGTATTGACTACAGCTCTGTGCATATGCTACAAACCAGTTGTACTTTAAAAGGGGGAAGTTAATGTTACAGCTCAAAAAAAAAAAAAAAAAAAGAGAGAGAGAGAGACAAAGGAACCAGAGGTTCCTGATTCAAACCTAAGACAATGTAAACATTAAGACAAGTTGCAACAATGGATTATGAACCACTGACTAAAATAAGAATCTTTGAAGAGTGAACTGACAGTAAATAAAGAAGGAAAGCAGCTTCCTTACAATGGAAGGCCGACTTATAAATGCCTGGAGCGTAAGAGAGCAGGAAAAATCACCCATGTTGCAACCAGCTCAGTAATAACTGAGGCAGGCACCAATGGCTGGGTGCTGACGCTCAGGGCTGAGATGTGATAAAGAGCAGGACATCTATTAGTCCCAGAGCAGCTCCCCATGAACTGCTTATTATCGCCAATGGAAAAACCTGGCCGACTCATCTTATGCACAAGATCAAAGTAAACATCAGCAATAATGCAGTGCACCAACATCTTGTGCCTCCTGGTGCGACACACTGATAGGCACATCACTTGGCAGGCACTCCTGGCATAAATGCAATATGTGAATGCTGACAAAACATCAGAAAAATCCGAACCAAGATGTGCTACAAGACAACTGGTCTTAATTCTATAAAAATACCAATGTCATGAAAGATGAAGGAAGGTGGATTTTTTTTTTTTTTTTTTTGACAGGCAGAGTGGACAGTGAGAGAGAAAGGTCTTCCTTTGCCGTTGGTTCACCCTCCAATGGCCGCCGCTGCAGCCGGCGCACCGCGCTGATCCGATGGCAGGAGCCAGGATCCAGGTGCTTTTCCTGGTCTCCCATGGGGTGCAGGGCCCAAGCACCTGGGCCATCCTCCACTGCACTCCCTGGCCATAGCAGAGAGCTGGCCTGGAAGAGGGGCAACCGGGACAGAATCCGGCGCCCCGACCGGGACTAGGACCCCGTGTGCCGGCGCCGCAAGGTGGAGGATTAGCCTATTGAGCCACGGCGCCAGCCGGATTTTTAAAAAATTCAACATGAGACGTGAGGAACTCAATGCAGTGCATGACCCTGAGCTAGATCCTGGACTGGAAAATAGAAAATATTGCGTGAAAGTTTCTGGGGCAATGGCTAAACTGCAGTATACACTGTAGTCGTGAGGTGCCATCACACCAGTGTTCTACTTCCTGGCTGTAACATTCTGTACCTATGCAAGAGAATGCCCTGCATCCTAGGAGACACACACTGCAGCTTTAGCTATAAGGGGTGCAGTATCTGCAACTCACTCTCAAATGCTTAAAAAGCAGTAACACGGGGCTGGTGCAGTGGTGTAGTGGGCCAAGCCTCTGCCTGTGGCGTTGCATGCCCCATGGGTGCTGGTTTGTATCCCAGCTGCTCCTCTTCTGATCCAGCTCTCTGCTATGGCCTGGGAGAGCAGTAGAAGATGGTGCAAGTGCTTTGCCCCTGCATCCGCGTGGGAGACCCAAAAGAAGCTCCTGGCTGCTGGCTTTGGATCGGCACAGATCTGGCCATTGTGACCATCTGGGACGTAAACCAGCAGATGGAAGACCTCTCTCTCTCTTTTTCTGCCTTTGCCTCTCTAACTCTGCCTTTCAAATAAATAAATAAATAAATCTTGAAAAGAAATGATGTAAAAGGGAGTAATCTGCAGTAAAGGGATGACCTCCCCCAGGCTTTTCGACAGGGCATAGTCAGTGTCATCACCATGCTCTTCCTGGTGGCCTAGCGACACGCACACTACCCATCATCCTCCTTGAACCTTGTCTCCAGGTAGCCTCGGGTCTCCCAGGAATGCGGGAGCAGACACCCACCTGCACTGGACAGCTCGGCCCGCAGCTGGCCCACGTGGTGCAGCAGCTCCTCCAGGCTCTGTTCACAGTGCTGTCCATAGGTCAGGAACTTCTGCAGGACCTTGTCCAGCTCCCGCTCCACACATGCACACTGCTCCATGGTGGCCTCTGTCTGGGGAAGATCAAGTGGGTCAGGCTCCATCTGGGCCAGATGGCACAGTTCTGGGAGGCTCCCACACCATCTTCCATATCCACTCCCTTATCAGATACAAAGCTTGGCCATGCCCTGCTTAACAAACCCACCTACCATGCCCCATCTCCCCTGGCTAGGGTTCCCAGCAGAGAATGCAGGCTGGTATGAAGACAAGTTTTCTGAATCAGGGGTGAGAATATTACTCATCTCCCACTCTCCTGTCATCTGTTCATCTCCTTTTCAACCAGGAGAGGGCAGCCCTCACAGGATCCTCAGCAGGCAACACAATCTAACCAGAAAACCACACTCCGCCAACTGCCCTTTCATATATTCATCGTGGTCACGCTCTCTTGCAGTTAGTGGGGGCACAGGCCCTGAAGGTAGGCCTTGAAGGGCTCAGCATTTGGAAAGGCAGCTTAGGGAGCAGCTGCCAACTGTTGGCCTGACAGGCCTCGCCCACCACTCCGAACTCAGCCTCCCCCGCTGCTTCTGCAGGGATGGGCACCTGGCTCGCTCACGGCTCTGTGCCCAGGGCAACGTGACTTCCTCTCTCTGCTCCGCTCTCCACCCCCCCTCACCCTTGCAACTCTTCAAGAAGCTGGGAGTCAGCTCACATGTCATCTCCTCTGGCAGCTATCCCCGGACTGTCCCCATCCAGCACCCTCAACTCTCCGTCTGCACCCTTGTTTTGAGCACTGGGTACTGATCTCTCTGAGGCCCTTCTGGTCCTACCAGACGAGAACCTCCTGTAACGGCCCTTGCCCCTCACTGTACCATTGAGAGAAAGCTGACTTCTCTTATCCTCCTACCCCCACCACTGAAGCCTCCTGCCCAAGCCCTTTCCACCCTGGGCACTGCTCCCCTGTTTCAGAGAAGCCTTTGACACTGAATACATGGACGAGCCTCCAAGTGTTGGTGATGGAGTCAAGTCCCTCCCCATCCATCTACAGCCTGAAATGAGAAGGCTGGCATATGTCCTCTGAAAGACAGCCAGGTGTTCATTCTCTCCAATGGTCCGCAGCACCACCGCACTACCACCAGGGTCCTCCGATCAACACCACGCTTGCCCGTTCCCACCAGCACCCTCTGTCTCAGCCTAGCACTGGGCCATGGATGTGTTCACACCCTCTGTCCTGACAGCTGATCCTACGACACTAGAATTTCTCATCAGAGTGGCCACCCAGTGCCCCCTAAACAAATGCTCTGGAACTGGATGGGAGACATTACGGGGCAAAATCTAACAGGGATTCCTGACTGAAATGGTGTGCACTCATTACAGTTATTGCTCTTATTAACAGCTAACATCTCACGAGGGCTTATTATGTGCCCGGCACTCTTCTAACAACTTCACATTAACTCACTTACCTAATTCTCAGGAAAACACTATGAGGTAGGGATGATTATTAAAATCACTTTGTAGATGAGAACATGAGACACAGAAAGATTCAGTTGCCCAAGGTCATGCAGCTGGGAAGCGGAGGAGTGGGAACTGAAGCCAGGCCCTTCCCTGGAGTACCTGGCATTACAGGTAATCTTGGGAGCAGCTTCACGGGCCACTATTGCACTAGGAAATACCTGTGGTTGGAATGAGTGCGCACCAACCACTAATGATGGCAAGAACAGGAAAGTAAGCACGGAGCCTGTGAGAACGATCAGCAGGGGAAAATGCAGAACAAAACAATGTTTGCCAAGAGTGTCTGGGAACCAGAGTCACAATTTACCAAAGATAAACACGGCCTGAGAAAGGTCAGGGCCTCACCAAGGTGAAATAGTCTGGGCCTTTCAGATACTCTCTGATAACCAGGACTACCAAAGGAAACTCCAGCAGCATCTGGAGGCTGTGCTGAAAAGCTGAGGAAGGGGCTAGGGACAGGCGTTTCTTCCTAGCACTGTTGTGGTGAGGGGCAGGAGACAGTCCAGAGGCCGCACACTGGTCAGTAAGCCAAGGAGGCAAAAGATGGGGACACATCTATGGAAACCGATGCAGCACTTAGAAGCCATGTCTCAGATACACTCACAGCAACATCTGTAGGATCCCACAATACAGTACTGAAGAGAAAGGAAAGAAATAAAATGAAGTCCAGGCAGAATACATTTATGGTAATTAAAAATAACCAGGGGGGCAAGTGTTTAGCCAATGGTTAAGACTAGTTAGGACACCCATGTCCCATTATTGGAATGATTGGCTTTGATACTCAGCTCTGGCTTCTGATTCCAGCTTTCTGTTAATGCAGATGCTGGGAGACAATGGTGATGGCTCAAGTAACTGGGTTCCAGCCACCCATATGGAAGACCTGAATTGTATCCTGGTCCCTAACCATTGGGCTGCATTTGGGGCGTGAACTAGCAGGCGGGAGATCTCTTTGCCTCTGAAATAACATCAATAAATACATACGACTAAGGCAAATAAAAGATACACACCAAATAAAAGGATATACAGTTGTCCCTTGATAACCGTGGGGGATTGGTTCCAGGACTTTCATGGGATACCAAAATGTGTGAATGTTCAAGTCCCTTATATAAAATGGTGTAGCACTGCATTTAACCCACACACATCCTCCCTTACATTTTAAGTCAACTCCTATGTATCTATTTGATAGGCTTGGAGCAGTTACCGTCTGCTGCTAAGGTTTTCACTACAGATGCACGAAAAAGGTGTCTTTGCACTTTGTCTGACTGTGGCAGCCAAGACTGAAGAGAGGCAGATGGGGTAGGAGAGGTGAATCATCTCTAGATCACTTACAATTTCAAATACAATGCAAACGCTATGTCAATAGCTGTTATATTATATTGTTTAGGGAATGACTTTTTAAAATCTATACATGCCCAATACAGACATTTTTCCTCAAATATCTCTGACCCACAGTTGGTTGAATCCATGGATGTAGAACCCCAGGATATAGAAGCCTGCCTATAGCCCAGACACAGCAGAGTACTTTCTTATGGTGGGGAGGGAAGGGAGAAGTGGGAATAATAAAGGAATATGTAATTAAATATAAAAGAGAAAAGGCCCTGCATGGACCAATTAAATGATTAAGAACTAATTATGATTAATGTAATTAAAATTTTAAGATAAATGAGCTGGGCAAACAACTACCTGAGGGGGGCGGCATTGTGGTTAAGCTGCTGTCTGCAACACCAACATCCCACATGGGCACTGGTTCGAGTCCCAGCTGCGGAACTTCCAATCCAACTCCCTGCTATGGTGTCTGGGAAGGCAGCAGAAGATGGCCCAAGTGCTCAGGCCCCTGCCACCCATGTGGGAGACCCAGATAGAGTTCTGGGCTCCTGGCTTCAAGCTGGACCTAGCCTCAGCCATTGCAGCCATTTGGGGAGTGAACTCGTGGATGGAAAATCTCTCTCCCTCTTTTGAATACATAAATCTTTAAAAAGAAAAAAAAACTGCTTGTGGGTTTTCCAGAGCCCAGGTTAACTCAGTGTGTCCAGAGCGAGCCGCTCTGCCCGTCACAGTCGGCCATCTTCACCAGGCACAAGGATGAGGAACTGTGTGCTTGTCTTTGACAACCTTCGTGATAAAGGTAAGTGCTGGCGATTGTCATTTCATGTCCATTCACCCTAAGCCTTTCTCCCCAAGGCCTTACACATATAGAGATCACCCAACAGGACGACTGCTCCAAAACACACACCAGATCTTGTCACCCCTTGGCTCAACAGTGCCATGGTTTCAGATAAGTCCTTTGCAAATACCCATGCACTTCCTTTGCGCGTGTGCCTATTTCTAGAGTGCCTTCTGCACTTCTTCACATGGAGAACTTAAGCAGGAGTTTAATCACCAGTTTTTCATGAAGTCAATGAAATCTGTGTCTCCTGTTTTTGCTTCATAAACGTATCCCGGGAGCCCATGTACTGACTGTCCCCATGCTGGTCTCTGCTGTCGGACTATGAGCTACCCAAGGGCTGGAGTCCCTACCTTTGGCGCCTAAACCAGGGCTGGTCCACGGTACTCAGAACGCGTTTGCTAATTAAATGGCACAGGACTTCCCAACCTTTGGCTTAGAGGGCCTGCGCTCACATCTGTGGAAGGTGAGCAGAGACAGGACTGAAATAAAATTCCCACCAAGGCACGTATGGGGGGACCCCGCACCCACACTTCAGCAGCCTGAACAAGGAGGGTTCCTGGAATGGGTAAGAGAATCTGTGAATCCCGAGGGAACTGATTCTGGCAATTTCGTAGCCCCCACCTCTAACCCCTCCCGGCCCGACATATGGTTCTCACTAAAACCAAGACTGGCTCCCGCTCCGCCTGCAACACACTCCCTCTTCGGTCCCAGCTCTGCTCGACCAGTCTCTGCCGCTGACCCCTGCTCCAGTCACCCGATCCCTATCCCACGGCCCCGTGCTTTCCTTCATTGCACACCCCCCTTCGACGATGCACATTTTTATTTTATCCTTAACCAAAACCGGAAGGAAGGAAGGAAGGAAGAGGCCACCGGGTCCCCCGGACAGTAGCCTCGCCGGGATTTCACCTGTATTAACCAACGAACTCATCCTTCCAGAGACCCTGCTCACGAGCCCGGCCGGGCCCCGGCCCGCACCTGGTTACCTGCCACCCAGCCGGGTCGCACGAGGCAGGGACGCCCGAGTCCGCGGCCCGGGGCCGGTCTGCGGGACTCCCGCTCCCCGTCCGGGCCGACGACTGCTAAGAGGACAAACCCAACGGCAGACTGGGGCGGGGGCTTCCGGAGGCTGAGCCTGGGCCAGGCAGCCAGCCGAGCTACCGCGCGCCGCGGCCCTCCGCACCGCCGGCCGGCGAGCCCCGCCCTCAGGCCGCAACGCCTGGCCCAGAGGCCCGCCCGCGCTCACCTCCGCCTACGGCCCCGGCTTCCGGCGCCGCCGTCTTCGGAACCGGAAGTGGCGGCGGTGGCCGGGCGGCCCCGGGCGCTCCCACTCGCGGATACGCAGAGGGGTGGCCGTCCCGCAAGCCGCCCCCCCCGCGCACCAGCAGTGAGGTCGCCCACAGGAGCTGGGGGACCGCGGTCAGGCGCTCGCACCCAGCCCTTCGCGGCCCAGCCCTTCGCGGCCCAGCGTAGGACAGAGCCATTCGCTGGCCGGCCGGGGGCCAGGCAGAGGCGCGGGGACTCGCCCTGCCTGGTGCCCCGCACGGAAGACCCCAGCTCCTGTGCCTCCTCCGCTCGCTGCGAACAGTGCTGTGCATCCTAGAGGCCCACCGGTTAGTCTGTGCCCTTGGGAAATGTCATGGAAGACAGAAGCCCTGGAGTCCGGCTGTGGTGTAGCGGGTTAAACATCCTTCCCATCCCCCCAACGCCGCGTCCCATATGGGCGCGGGTTCGAGTCCCGGCTGCTGCACTTCCGACCCAGCTCCTTGCTAATGGCCTGGGAAAGCGGTGGAAGATGGCCCAAGTCCTTGGGCTCCTACCCTCAAGAGACCTGGAAGAAGCTCCTGGCTCCTGGCTTCGGCCTGGCCTGGTCCTGGCCTTTGCGGCGTGACCTAGCAGATGGAAGATCTCTCTGTCTCTCTGTAACTCTGCCTTTCAGATAAATAAATACATAAATTTTTAGGGGGAGAAAAAAGCAAAGTCCTTTTTTGGTGCCCCAGCCTTGCGGATCCCCTCAACCTGAACTTAATCTGCAGAATCAGATTCCGCGGCTGCCCTGGGTGGGAACACACCAGCCCCCGGGGAAGGAAGGCTGACAGAGGAGGGGGGAACCGAACCCAGGCCTGGGCCTAGTCTAAGCTCCACCCAGGCCCATTGGCTCTGCGCGCACCCCCCCCCCCCCCCCGCCCTCGAGGAGCCGGACTCTCCCGACTTCCGGCTGCCTTTTTAGGCCAGCCTCATTCCAGGTCCGCCTCCCCTTGCACAATCTCATTTTCTTCGCACTTGCACAAGCCACCTTTGTTTTCTGTACAGCATTTGATATGATCTCGTGTGTTTATTTGTTGTTCCTGACTTCTGGCGCTTAGCCCTGCCTCCACCACTTTTGGGGGCCGGGGAGGATGGCTTCCCCCACACCAAGTGCTTGGGGCAGAGTGGATGCTCCACGGGGAGACGCGGAGGTCGTAGGTTATACAGAGGAAACCTTAGGCTGTATTGCAGGGAAGGTGCGCGCGCCGCGAGCCTGGGTGGTCCTGTCCCACGCGGAAGCGCGAGGGCGGAGAGGAGTGAGCCTGGCCCGGGGCTAAGGGGCCCCGGAGCCCTGCCCAGCTGGACAGGACCGCACAGGCTTTCACGCACGCCCCGGGCGCCCCCACTTCCGCTCCAGGCCTGGCTGCTTGGAGAACTTTGCCAGTGCTGCTCACGAGACGTTCCCAGCGTGTGGCAGTCCTGTGGTTTTTGTTGGGATGGGGTCGGTTCTTGGAGCTGTTGTTCACGAAAATCAGTGTCTGTTGAAAAAAAATTTTTTTTGCCAGTTTCCTAGTTTGATTTTAAAAATTTCACTCAGTAAATAATGTCTATATTTTATTTTGGAGGAGGTGGGTACTTCTGTGTGGTTATCCCAGCACCTCCTGTTGAACAATCCTTCCTTACCCTCTCCTTTGAAGTCCTTTGAAGCCCTTTATCTTTTTTTTTAAGATTTAAAAAATTTATTTTAAAGAGTTACAGAGAGGGGAGGCAGAGAGAGAGAGAGAAAGAGAGAGAGAAATCTTACATCTGCTAGTTCACTCCCCAGTGGCCACAACAGCCAGGGTTGAGCCAGGCCAAAGCCAGGAGCCGGGAGCTTCCTCTGGGTCTCCCACGTGGGTACAGGGGCCCAAGCACTCTGCTGCTTTCCCAGGCCATTAGCAGGGAGATGATAAGAAGTGGAGCAGGGGCCCACGCTGTGATGCAGCGGATTAATGACCTGGCCTAAAGCGCCGGCATCCCATATGGGCACTGGTTCGAGACCCGGCTGCTCCACTTCCAATCCAGCTCTGTTATGGCCTGGGCCACTGCAGAGTGAGCCATTGGATGGAAGGCCTCTCCTCTCTGTAACTAACTTTCAAATCAATCAATCTAATCAATATTAAAAAAATAAAAAGTGGAGCAGTCAGGACTGGAACCCGTGCCCAAATGGGATGCTGGCGCTGCAGGTGGTGGCTTAACCTGCTATGCCACAGTGCCGACCCCCTATCGTGGTTTTCTTTAAAGACTTTATTTGAAGGGCAGAGAGGAAAAGAGAGCTCTTCCTAGGACTGGACTAGGGGGAACCAAGAACTCCATTCAGGTCTCCCATGTAGGTGGCGGTGACCCAAGCACTTGGGCGGGACTGTTACCTTCTTCCTGTTATTAGCAGGAAGCCGGTGGGGAGCTCAGGTGGGACTGATCACAGGCACTCAGATAGGGGGTGCGGGCGTCCCAGGGGGTGGCTTAGCAGGCTGCAACACAATGTCCATCTCTGGTGTGCTATTTTTCTACCATATGGAATCTATTTCTGGCCTCAGAGGTATAGATTAATTTTTATGCCAGCATGATACTGTTTTCCTTGCTACTTTGTAATACATTCTAATATAACACATTATAGAGGTGGGATTAAACACCTCTCACAAAAAGGGGGAGAAAAGCTAGAAAGGTTATTGAGGAGGCAGATTAATGGTTGCTAGGGGCTAGGGGTAGGGAAGAGGGGTTGGCTATAGAAGAGTACTGGGGAATTTGGGGGTTGATGTACTTTTTTTTCAATGTATTGATCTGAAAGAGACAGAATCATCCATCCAGTGGTCACTCCCCAAATGTCTGCCAACAGCTGGGACTGGGCCAGGCAGAAGCCAGGAGCTAGGAACTCATTCTGAATCTCCTCCATGGGTGGTAGGGACCCAAGTACTTGAGCCATTATCTCCCGCCCAGGGTTTGCATTAGCACGGAGGTGGAGCAGAAATGCCAAATGCCCACCCCCTGCTGAAATTGTTCAATGTGCATTTGTCAAAATACTAAAAACCACCTGGGAGGGCGTTGTGGTACAGCAGGTTGAACTGCTACCTGGGACGTCTGCATTCCATATCCAAGTGCTTGTCCAGGCTATGCCACTTCTGATCCAGCTTCCTGCCAGTGCACCTGGGAAGGCAGCAGATGATGGCCCAAGCACTTAGGTGCCTGCCACCCATGTGGGAGATCAGGATGGAGTTCCACTCCTGGCTTTGGCTTGGCCCTGTCTGTGGCAGACTTTTGGAAAGTGAACCAGTGGGTGGAAGATTATCTTTGTCACTCTGCCTTCCAAATAAATAACTTCAAAAAAAAAAAAAATAGATGTACTTTAAAAGGGTGAATGTTCCTGTAAGTTACACCTTAAAATGGCAGAGGGAGGGGAGCCCGATGGTTCAAATGGTGGGGAACAGGCACATAAAGCACATTATACAAATCTTAGTAAAAAAAAATTCTTCAACAAAGGACAAGACCCCAGGGTCAGGTGCTGTCCTTCCTTGCCCCTCAGAGCAAGTCCTGGAAGCTGAGCCGTTTCTGAGAGCTGGAGGAGCTGGGGGCTGAGAGCGCCAGGGGCGGACCCAGGGCAACCAGAGCTGCCTGCCCTGCCTGCTGGCCAGACCCAGCATTTGCTCAGGCCGTAACTTCCCCTTCCACCCTCCAGGTCCCTGGTCTGTTCTTCCTGTCACTCCCTGTAAGTCTTCAGTTCCGTCCGGTTCCACCTCCATAATTTGCAGAGCACAATGAAAACGTGCAGCTGCTGTTCAAACAGCCTTGAGAAGTTAAAGATGGCGACAGCAGAGCATTACCCGGAGCAGGGGGTCTTTCTGAGTGCAGGGCCCTGGTGGTTGCACATGTGCACACACAAAGCTGATCCCGGTTGGTTCCAGTCTTTCTCGTGGCTGCACCGAGGACTCCCGTGCCGCTTACCGGGCTGTCCAAGCTCTGCCTCAGCCCCACTTACAGACAGCACCCATCCCAGAGACCTGCTCCTCGCTTTCCTGTGTCCCACTCAGAATGCCCGCATCCGGGGCTGCCTCGAGCAAGCCAGCAGCTAGCTTTCCCCTCTGTAGGGTGCTTACCTGCACTCCCTCCCCCAGCCCGGACTGAGGCACCAGCTTCCATAGCCCTGCAGCTCCACCTCCTGTGACCTTAACCCTCCTCCCCGCATCTGTCCTCGCTTCTGAATCCAATATGGAGGGCTCAAGCCCCACCCACGAGCGCAGCGGGTTTTTGGTTGGAATATCCACAGTGAAGGCTGTACTGTCTTTGAAGAAAGTCGCCCTAATACCCACACCATCCGCTCCGTCTCAGAAACAGTCTCACCTCCCAAACGGCCCCTCCTCTGCCTCCCCCAGCTCTGCGGGACTCACCGTCCACCAAAGGCCCCTCTGTTGTTCCTGTGTCGGTGCTCTGAGCTCTTCTGGATTCTCGTCCTTGTCTCCTCCCACCCAGCCCCAATCACTATCAGGAATGGCCTTCCCCAGCAGGCAGGGGCTTTGGCCACCTTGTCCTCCTCTCCTGAGAACCACAGCTGGCCCCATGGGAGGCCCTCAGAACACCCGTGTGGGATGAATGGTGAGTGGCCCAGGAGTGGTCAATGAACTTTCGGGTTGGAGCCTTCCCCAGCCATACCCAGCCAGAATCCACTCTAATCAGGAGAGGGACACTCTTGACCCCCCTATCTCCCTAGTGCCTCATGGGCTGGCTGGAACTGAAGTGGGTTTGGGGTAAAAAACAGAAGGCATCAGGCCAGTGTGGCCCATCGGTTGTATGCAGGCATTCTGTGTCACAGCACTGATTGAGTTCAGGCTCCTCTGTTTCTGATCCAGCTTCCTGCCAATGCACCTGGGAAGGCAGTGTGGAAGATGGCCCAAGTGCTTGAGCCTCTACACCCATGTGGGAGACCTAGATGAAGCTCCTGGCTTCAGCCTGGCCCA